GCCCTGGCCTGTCGGCCTGTCGCTGCTCCTTTCTCCACCTGGGCCGGCCTCTCTCTGGGAAGTCTGTGGCTCCTCTCCCTGTCAGCCCTGTTCCCATTCCTGTTCCCAAACCGACTTCGGGTTGTCCCTGTCTTGCCTCGCGCGCCGCCTGGTTTGCGCCAGCAGAAGGATTCTGTGATGGAACCTTCTGCACGTGTGTGCGCCACGGTGACACTGGAAGGGGGGGCACAGAGGGACCCTCCTCGGAGGGGGAAGCGCAGTTTGAGGCCTTTGGGGCCTGTCCCAGAGTTTGGTAAAGATCGGTGGCTGTTGGGGGGCTGTTGCGTGAAGCCGGGGCTCGGAGCTCGGTGGCTAGCCCTCCACAGCCGCCGGTGAGGAAGCGGGGAGGGGAGGGTCCTGGCGTTCCAGGAGCATCCGCCGGGCTGTGCAGAACGGCGGGGGAGTCTGAACACGATTGCAGTGGGACGGTCTCCTGGGGTTAGGGGTGCGCAGTGTGGGGTCCTGGGTCCCCACCTTTGCTTGTGAGCCCTCCTGTGAGGCTCTGTGGCAGGCCCTGGGGCTGCGGCAGCCACGGAGGCGGCCTGGCCCTCCTGGCACAGCGCTTACTGGTGGGAGGCAGTAAGGAAGTGAGCACAGACGTCCGGGACTGACGATGGTTTGACGGGATTCTTGGACTTTCCAACGTTGCGAAAGTGATTGCGTAAGTTGCACGAGATACTCGACGCTTTATTGTAAAATAGGCTTTGTGCTCGGTGGTTTTGCCCAACGGTGGGCTCCTGTGTGTTCTGAGCACGTGCGGGGTGGGCTGGGCTGAGCTCTGACCGGTGGGCTCGGTGCAGTAAACGCACTTTCTACTTTGGGACGTAACCTGTTGAAAGTCGGGGGGCATCTGTTCAGAATAGAGCCTGTGATTTTTTTAAAAGAATATTTTTATTGATTTCAGAGAAGAAGGGAGAGAGAGGGAGAGAGAGAAACATCAATGATGAGAGAGAATCATGGACCGGCTGCCTCCTGCACTCCCCCCACTGGGGATCGAGCCTGCAACCCAAGTATGTGCCCTGACCGGGAATCGAACCGTGACCTCCTGGTTCATAAGTCGATGCTCAACCCCTGAGCCAGGCCAGCGGGGCTAGAGCCTCTGATCTTGATCGTTGCCCGAGAAGGTAAGCATGTCTCAGAGAAAGTGTGGGCTGGCGGGTGGCAACTACAGGCAGGCGGCTGGGAAAAGCCTCTTTGAGGTGCAGCCCAAATGGACTGGCCCGGACACGTGGGCGCAGGACTCCGGGCAGCGGGGAGGAGCCGGGCAAAGGCCCTGGTGTGGGACCGAGCTCGCCGGGCTCAGTGGCAGATCCCCCCAGGCCCGCTCAGAAAACCGCCGCCTCTACCAGGGACCAGGGACCAGGGACGGGAGACAGCCCGCTGCGCTCGGCTTTCGCAGCTGGCAGGCGGCATGCGGGGTGTGGGAGGCACCCCGGTGGCGGGGAAACCTGGGTTCCATCCTGGCTCTGCTCCAGGGAGCACGGGAGGCCACGGGCCTGAGCTCCAGCGTCTTCGTTGTCAACTACGCTCTGGCTCCTGCCGGCCACTGCCCTCCCTTCCCGGGAGGTGAGGCCCTGAGCTCAGGTCCCCAACCCAGGCGAGGAAGGGCCTGGAGCCATGGCCCGGGGGGGGGGGGGGGCTGGTGGAGGGGTGCCCTTGCGGACAGACCCCTGTGCGGAGTCCTTCCTCTGTGAAAAGTGGAGGCACTGTTAGTTGTCAGGCGAGGCGGTTCCTGGGGAAGCTGCCTTTAGTGAGGATGCCCTGTTCACATCTCAGAAGCTGTGGTCTGATGTGAGGGCCAGTGAAAGGGCTGTGATGGGCCCTGACGGGGAGGCAGCTCTGCTCGCCACGGCACCACCACCATCGCCACC